GTGATCCAATTCCAGTCTCATTATCTCACGCAGACGGGCGACCACCCGGGAACGCCGTCGCTCACTTCAAATATTGTGCGCTCTGCCTAATCCAATATGAGGGCGCTGAATGTCTTGTATTCATATTCAAATTGCATTCAAGTTGTATCGTGGTGTTTATTTACCGCTTGTGCCTTGTGCATTGCTGAACGCTTTGTATAAATTTGTATGAATAAGTGAAGAGTCTCACAATGTTCATGGTTGGTGTGCCCCTCGTATTGTTTGTACGGAAGCCAAATATACCTACATTGTTGCTCTTGAAACATTTTTTTTTAGTTGGTGAGCTCCGGTTAACAGAAGCTTTGTGAAGCTTCTGAATCTGAAGGAAGCGTCTGTGGGTCTGTTACCATCCTCTGGGGGGTTTACACTAAAGGAAAGAGTAAACATTACCATGTGACAAAGGGTAGGCCATAAGAATATACTCTCTGTAGGAGGGTAAAGCACAGAGTAGATGATGTGTTACTCCCTAAAAAAGGGTTCCGTTAAAGATTTACCCTTTCAAAGAGTGTAATCCAAAAAATGTTACACTCTAGACAAGAGTAAATCAAAAGAGTTTACCATTCAGAAGATGGTGAAAAACGTCTGTGTGTCATGTTACCCCTCCCTGGCGAGTTTACTCTTCATGAAAGAGTAAAATTTACCATCTGGAAGGTGGTAAAAAACCTCTGTGTGTCAAGCTACCATGCTATGGCGGGTTTACCCTTCAGGAAATGGTAAAAAAGTTTTCAGTGAAGAGCTCTTATATCACATGGCTGCTACTTTTTTGGAAAGTCCCGAGTCTCATTCATTCTAGTCTGTCTCTGCTGCGGTTCTTCGGAGAACCACTCTAAATCCCGGAGGTTAAACAGCTATGTCAGCAAATGTAACGAGAACCAAAAAGTCGCGTGTTCACTGTTTAGTAGATACGTGCAGCGATGGGTGACGAATCACTGCGTTCTTTCAAAAGTTAATCGATTTAACGGCAGTAGCGTGACGCCGGCGAGCTTCCGGACAAAAGAGCTTTGTAGCATAGCTGAAAGCAATGCGAAACGGAAGTGCCTGCCATTGTTTCCCTAAACTGCAAAATGGAGAGCTTTACAACCGAGTGACATGAAACTTCTGTGCTACGAACTACGAGCGAAACAATCCAGTGTATACGGCACAATTAGGTATTGGCTGCAATGGCTGCGCTCGGCAAAACCTTTGTGTTTGGGAACATTACAGGAAATGGGAAACATCGACCGTCATTCCCAGCTTCACGGCTTGCCATTCTAGTGCAGAAGATTCTTTTAAATTATGGTTAAGCTGTGAGTGATTAGTGAGATGATGTTTTTCGTACTCCAGCGTAGATGGGTAGCCATACGGCTTCCACGGTTGACAGTGATGACATCAGTCATCTTTTGCAAGCTCGTTAAAGATTTGGGCTGTACGGGGACTCGAACCCCGGGCCTTTGGATTAGCGCTCCAATGCTCTACCTCTGAGCTATACAGACCAAGTACTTTAACGAGCTTTCTGCCAAGTTTTATGCGGATCATTCTTAGGTGTTGTTTTTATCCGCTGGGACTGAGAGCGTGAGATGATGTTTTTCGTACTCCAGCGTAGATGGGTAGCCATACGGCTTCCACGGTTGACAGTGATGACATCAGCATCTTTTGCAAGCTCGTTAAAGATTTGGGCTGTACGGGGACTCGAACCCCGGGCCTTTGGATTAGCGCTCCAATGCTCTACCTCTGAGCTATACAGACCAAGTACTTTAACGAGCTTTCTGCCAAGTTTTATGCGGATCATTCTTAGGTGTTGTTTTTATCCGCTGGGACTGAGAGCGTGAGATGATGTTTTTCGTACTCCAGCGTAGATGGGTAGCCATACGGCTTCCACGGTTGACAGTGATGACATCAGTCATCTTTTGCAAGCTCGTTAAAGATTTGGGCTGTACGGGGACTCGAACCCCGGGCCTTTGGATTAGCGCTCCAATGCTCTACCTCTGAGCTATACAGACCAAGTACTTTAACGAGCTTTCTGCCAAGTTTTATGCGGATCATTCTTAGGTGTTGTTTTTATCCGCTGGGACTGAGAGCGTGAGATGATGTTTTTCGTACTCCAGCGTAGATGGGTAGCCATACGGCTTCCACGGTTGACAGTGATGACATCAGTCATCTTTTGCAAGCTCGTTAAAGATTTGGTCTGTATAGCTCAGAGGTAGAGCATTGGAGCGCTAATCCAAAGGCCCGGGGTTCGAGTCCCCGTACAGCCCAAATCTTTAACGAGCTTGCAAAAGATGACTGATGTCATCACTGTCAACCGTGGAAGCCGTATGGCTACCCATCTACGCTGGAGTACGAAAAACATCATCTCACGCTCTCAGTCCCAGCGGATAAAAACAACACCTAAGAATGATCCGCATAAAACTTGGCAGAAAGCTCGTTAAAGTACTTGGTCTGTATAGCTCAGAGGTAGAGCATTGGAGCGCTAATCCAAAGGCCCGGGGTTCGAGTCCCCGTACAGCCCAAATCTTTAACGAGCTTGCAAAAGATGACTGATGTCATCACTGTCAACCGTGGAAGCCGTATGGCTACCCATCTACGCTGGAGTACGAAAAACATCATCTCACGCTCTCAGTCCCAGCGGATAAAAACAACACCTAAGAATGTGAGTGATTAGAGCCGCGCTGGAAACCCGTTTACAACTATTCCAATCAACTGCAGGTTGCCTATTCCTTTTGCTGGGTAGGTACCCACCTTTGTAACTAAAGACGACCAGATCTGGGCTCACTGGCCCTCGCAGACTCCGTCCCGACCTTGACCCCACATGGGAGCATGCTCAGCCTGATAACGTTTACCTCCGACCAGCGAGCTCCCAGTATTCCAGGAAATCAGCAGAGTCTGGATTGCCAACCGTTATACGCGGGCCAGGCTTAAACGCTTCAGAATGCAAACGGAAAGGATCTCATAGACTCAGCAGCTCTTACGATCGCGTGACGTTAAAACATTTGTTAATTATTGGGAAACAAAGCCAGTGGTATCATTACCTTTCGTCGATAGTTTGACGAATCAGACACTGCGGTAAGAAATGTAAACGTCCACAACCTCAACAATATCAATTTTAGCCCTTCCTAAATCTCAACTTTTATATGATATCCGGCCAAACTACGGCGCAAGATATCCAGTCTCCAAGCAGCACGACTGGGTTAATCCCGTTTCTCACGCCTCGGCAGCGGTGTCGCGGCGGTGACCAGGTCACGGTAGCGGTGACCGCCTTCTGTCGCCTGCGCCTGCTCGGAGACCGTCCAGTGCCACCGGTCCCGCCGGGGTGCGCCCACCCGTCAGACCCGTCGGCAGTCTGGGGCGCAACGGTCCGCACCTCACAGTTCACGGTTCAACACCCAGGACACCGCCCGCAGTTGGCCGCCCGCACTAAACCCCTGTCTGACGCCCGCGCTAAACCCCTGCCCAACTGCCCGGCCGCCCGGTGGCTGGCTGCCGAGGTAAGATCGCAGTCCCGTTATCATCAGCATGACGCCCGCGCAACGGCTCAAAAACTGGCTGGCTTCGTCCTCGGCTGTCCCGCCGGGTTTGGGAACAGGAAATAGCAGCGACAGATTCGGCTGAGAAAATGAACGGATTAACACTCGAGGTGCTACTAGAAAAGGTTACTGGCCCAACTGGTTTGCATGACACAAAGTGCTGGAGAGAGCGACATACTGCCAACCATAAAAACTATTCAACTGACTTAACTGATCAAGAAGCAAGTCGCAAAAAAAAACTCAGGAAGAGGCTAATGAAAAATGTTAGATTCAGCGAAGCCGTCCTCAGATCTCATGACGCTAAAATAGTCGCCACATCCGTGGGCACCAGTTCACCTTCCGGGGTCGTGGGAATATGTCATTCATCTGCAAGCGCTCTAACCGAAATCCAGTTGTAGACCTGACATTCCCCATGTTCGTGGCCTACACGAACACCTGCACCCTGACAAGTGCTCCGGAAAACGGCCACTTCCTCCGCTGAACCGTTTCTCACGGCCACTGTCGGGTGACAACATTCCGGCAGGGTGACTGGACTGAGCCTGACTCTGAGAGTAGCGCTGACTGCGCCAAAGCTGCACTCTGTGAGTCTTCTGCGGTCGGACAGGGACCAGTGTGGTGTGCTCGTGTCTTGACGGTGACCCTGCATGGCTTCAGTGCCGCGGAGGAATTCCTCTGACCGACCGTACCAGGGAGGAGTTTTCTGACGGACAGTTTGCTGTGCCGGGAAGTCGGTCCTCTGACCAAAAGGATTCTAGCCAGGGAGGGAGTCCTCTGAGGGATGCCGTGACGCGGCCACAGACAGAAGTCACGGTCGGCTGCCCCGACGGCGGCTTCCAGGGGTCTGTGAGTTACCACCGAGAAGCCACACATGGCACTAACGACCCTAATCAACTCATGGGATCATTTCGCCACCGCTGAAATAAATATGATCACGCTCATGCTTGCCATCAGCAACCCATTGTAAGAAATTGATGACTTAACATTGACAAGCTCACGAAAACCAACATTTAACCATTGTTGCTTCGTGACCGGACTATTGTTCGGTCTGAAGCATGACATGGGTACTAAGTCCGGCAGCACGCGCGATGACTAAATAATGTTCCCCACCAGATCCGCCGTACAGCCGCCGTATAAATGGTCATGGTAAGGTCCAAGAAAGAGTGCTATGCATTTTTAATTAAAGATCAACAGGAGTGAAAGATGCTTCTGACCTGAAGACTTTGAAGACTCCACATTAATAATGTCTAATCCGTGCATAAACACAACTTTGGTACATTTATCTATAAAACAAGGCCAATGTTGTGAAAGGTTTGCCCAACTTAGAGATGTATTTCTCGTAGGTTCGAGTCGTCGTCATCAGACATCTCTGAAAGAGCCTGGGTCTAAGGTTTCTTTGATATCTCCCTGAAGCAGAACCTAAAGCATGGGATGTAGGACAAACATCCATCTACGACTTACTTGTGATCCCGGAGATGATCCTGCCGCCGGAACGCCTTTCCACAAATGTCACACGGATAGGGCCGCTCGTCGGTGTGCGTCCGCTCGTGGATCAGCAGGTTATAGCTCTTGCTGAACTGTCGGTTGCAGAACTTGCAGATGAACTGTTTGCGCGGCCGGCTGGCGCGGCCGGGGATGCGCACATAGCGGCGGTCGAACACGCCCGGCAGGATGTGCTGTGTCAGCGAGCCGAGCGGCAGCGGGCCGAGCACGGGCGCGCCGGCTCCGAACGGGCCCAGCAGGCCGGGAGCGCCGAACGCCCCCACCAGGCCCGGGTACTCAGCGTACTTGTTGCCCGGCGCGGCGCTCGGGTGCGGCGCCGGTTTGGGCGCCCCGGCGCGGCCAGCCACCACGGGTCGGAACGCCGACGGCTCTCCCTCGGCGCCGAGACCGGCCGGGCCCGGCGCCGACGACGGGAACGGCGGGTACAGGCCCGGCGGGTACGGCCGTGACGACGGCCCCGCGCCGTACTCCTCGGCCAGGGACATGGCGGCGGCGGCGGCGGCGGCGGCACCTGAGGGGGACAGAGAGAACAGGTCAGCTGCAAGACACACGGCAGGTGGCTGAGAACATACACAAAGGAGACAGATGGATAGAGTCGAGACAAAGTTGGGCGCACATGTATCTAAGACAGGCTATATCCAAGAACATTATCTCGAAAGACCGAGGAGAGGAAACCGAAAAAAATTGTTTTCGGCAAAGTTGTTCCCTTACAATGGCTAGCGCACGAAACTCCTCTCGCATTCAGCGCGCTATGTTCAAGCAGCATGCGTCATCAACGACGGCGCACGCACTTCAACTGAGTCACCAAGCGCAGGGGAGTCTACGACGACAGTCCGGGACAGCCAGGTCAACAACCCTCTCGCCCACGCCCTCGCCCTAGCCAGCCGCCCTCGCCCTTGCCTTTCGCCACACGCCACTCGGCGCTCGGCGTACCGGCACTGTGGACTGATCCCGATCCGGGGTAGCGGATACCCGGAGATCTTGCAGCGGGCGTAGGCGGGATGAGACGTCACGCACGGTCCAGTCCATCCACAGAACCCCGCCGAGGCGAGCGCGGAGCACATCCTTCCCGGACACAGTGTAGCCCTGAGGAACGCGGCCCTGCTCAAGTTGGCCCGGGCGGCCGATTTCTGAAGCGGCAAAAGGCGCTCTCGGTGCCCTTTCTGCGGGCGTTCAATGCCACCTAACGGTGGGGGATTACAGCCCGGTGCGCTCCGCGGTTCCCCGAAAAGGTTCGACTCCCAGCTCCTCTAGCGGTGTCGGCTCATGACGAACTGCTTAAAGTATTACTTCAGAAGCGAACAACGGGGTCTTGTGAATGTCGCCAAGGATGCATTTGCGCCCCGCCTCGAGCAGTCAACGGTAGCCGTTTTATTTCAATTCGTCCGACAGACTCAATTGGATTATGAGCTGCGAGCGCTAGCGGTCCATTCCGCCACTTGAACGGGGTACGTCACTTTGAATAAGGTGCGGGCAAACCCGATGACGAGGCCGACTGCAGAAATGTCAGAGCAGATGCCAAGCTGAGCGCCTGGGTCGGTAGCACCGGTTACTTTCTCGGGAACTTGCATGCGGTATTACAAAGCTTACCGCTGTTGGCACAGGAGTTTATCAGTCATCTGGATTACTGACTCATGGCGTCTGCGGTGACTCCTGCCATGGAGATTACATTAAGATGAGCACTGGCGCCGCAGTCGTGTGGTATTCAAATGGCTGAACTGATTTAACGCGCTGCTGGGTTAATTTCCTCGTTTCGCATTATGACTCATCAATTCAAAGGAACATTATAATAAACGTGTTCAACGTCGCTTCCATTCAGGAGAAGCCCTGGCACTGTGTCGCTGAACTGTTGCAGTCAGTAGGCGGAGTCAGGGTCGTAGAACAGGGGGAGGGGAGAGCAGCAACAGAGGGCGGGCAGGGGCGGTTCCAGGAGGGCGGGAAGGGCGGTCTCCGGGGTGGAGCGGCAGAACTCCGGAAATTGTTACGGACGGACGCAGACTGTTGCTGGGGGTGTACGAGTAAGCGTTTGACGGTGAATGTGCAGGGAAGTTGGATGAGAAAGAGAGAGAGAGAGAGAGAGAGAGAGAGAGAGAGAGGGGGGGAAAGGGAGAGAACGAGAGAAAGAGAGAGAGAGAGAGAGAGAGAGAGAGAGAGAGAGAGAGAGAGAGAGAGAGGAAATGAAGATAAGAGTAAGAGAGAAAAGGAAGAACATAGCTTGGAGAACAGAAAAGGTAGATAGGAGAACAGTTATAGATAGGAGCGCAGAGCGGATCAAGTGAGTCATTGCCACCACCCGAGTCCCCAGCGCCGTGAGATTCCGTCCGTCTGCGGCGGCTCTGCAGTATGTCCCTTGTCGGCTCGAGTGGCCCGGTCACTCTGAGTGGGCCCGTTCTAAGTGTCCTCTGAGGACATCCGTCGGCAGTCGCCACCACCGCCGGCCCTCGGTTCTGCAGGGCGGACACGGCACATACCGACGACGGACAGAGGTGCTGCGGTCATCCATCAGCCACCCAGGCCCCGCCCCGCCCCCGTCCGATTCTGCAGCAGCAATGGATCATGGCGCACCACCCAGACCCCCTGTGCCGTCAGCGGCCGCCCAAATACCGGACTGGACCGCCGACCGTGCGCCATTGCAAATGGTTTGCAGTTGCACTGGACTCTGAGTCTCTGTCCCACATGGTGGAGCGCGCTACGCCGGGGCTGCGCAATGCACATGTTCCATCCCGTGCGGGGACAATGAGGGAGCGTGCAGAATGTTGAACGGTTGCGTGTTCGGGTGGTGTATACGGTGCCCTGTTCACTTCCATCATCCTCTGTGATGTGCTGTGTCATGTTAACTAAAACAATATCAGTACCGTGTGACGCAGCGTGTCGCATTCCACCGAAACATAAAACTTTGTGTGTTGTGGCGTGCTAACCGCCCCACTCTGCACAGTTTGCGCGTTATTCTGCGGTATTACGCACGATCGGTTGAAACAGAAATACCGCACAGTCAGCGATATCCAAACGCACAAAGGCCTATACATACATATATGTAGCTCAGTCATCGCTTTATGAAGCCGTGCCCGGCAGCGGCTGGGATCCGCCGGGTGCTGAGCTGCTCTCTGCGGGGACCCAGGCCGCTGAGCGTCAGACACGTCACCGGCAACAGTAAGAGGATTCTGGGCCGGCCGTCTGGTCACTCAGTCTCTGAGTCCGCACCTGTCTACAGCGGTTAATGCCGCCAACAGAGAGCACTCGGCAACTGTGAACCGGCTGCCCTCGCCTTTCCTGTGTCCAGTCATCGTCCGAAATACACGGTATCGGGAGCAGCATAAGCCCGACAACTGATCTAATCCGGAGAGCTTCTGCCGGTTGCTATATATAGGGTGTTCACTAAAAATTGACACAAACTTTGAATGGCTGCATATCAAAAGTGAAGCAAGCTATTACGATGCAACTTAGCATAGAGATAAAAGGGACGTTTTTATCATACCGAGCATAAAATTTCACAGATGTGATGAAAGCAGTGGCGTTGGAGGTCGTTTTAAACAAGGACTACCAAAAGCCAGTTGGCAGGCTTTCCCAAAATAGCACGTCAATGGGAGAGTTTGACACGTACAAATACCTAATGAAAACTTAAAATGTCAAAATTAGTTACATACCGTACAGTCGGACGAAAGTTCTAGAGGGTGTGCGAGTCCGAAAAGCTGAAGTGGTGTAATTGTGGAGATATTGACATGAGGAAGGGTCGGGGCCCCGAAAATGCACGTGGAGGGGCTTTTTGACACATCACGGCGCAATGCTGCTGATCAGTAAGGTATTAACTGTGCCTAAGCGAAGAAGATATATCACACCTGAGACTAGGCTGAGTTACAACCGGCGCAAATGATTTCTCGAAGCGACTGGGAACAACATAAGGCCAGAGAAGTAAATATGCTATGGTCAAAAAAGGGACAAAAAATGCAGAAAAAAGTTTTGAACTATTTAAGGTAGAAAAATCATATTTTTAGTTAAAGGGCGACAATTAACTAGACAATGGAGTGTTCTGTTGTGATGTGATCGATGATACAAGGGCTAACGTCCAATTAAGTGTCAGCATGCAAGCTAACGCTGGATGCCGTGGTGTATGTGTTATTTCAGAGAATATCATCAGTTTGACTTTATTCCTCCAGACTGGTCCTTTACAATATACTTTTTGAGCCAAGTGTATTATTAAGCACTAGAGGTTCATGCAGAACAACATATGTAACCAGAAGGTGATTTTCTGGTCCGACCTCGCGCCAGCACACTAACCAAGGGGCGCCTTGAGGGCCCCGGCCGATGTAAAAATGCCCATTGGAACGAGACCCGATAAGCCAATTTCCACGCCTGAAATTTAACAAATGAGTGTCTAATGTGATTTGTCTAAGGCTGTAACGTATGTTGGTGTCTTTCGATTTCATACAAAATATCAACTGGTTGCTCATTACCACCATCAACTGGCCAACATCACGGTCCACTGGTGCCAGAGCTTGTGACAACACTTCCAAGGAAATATCAAAAAAATGGCCTATGGGGATCAGGCAAATCTGCTGACACTCTACGGCTTGCAGCAGATGCAATGTGCATTACAACAATGCCTCGTTTGTTTAAATCGGTACATTTTTACCGAAGATACAGCCTGCTAAACTTTGTCTCAATTTTTAGTGAACACCCATTATATCCAACCATGTGCTGAAGATGGACAGCTGTTACGACAGGGACACAGCCATGGCTCATCAACAGACGCAGCCCAGCAGGAACAGCTTTGGCGCTTCGGGGCAGACACAGCGCAGCGGAGACAAATGTGGCACATCGGAGCCATTCGCGGCGCGTTGGAGACGACTGCAGCGCTGTCGCTCGGCGGGCGCGTGAGCGGGGGCGCCGCGGACAACCGGTCCGGTCCGATGGCCTCGCAGCAGGCGGCGGAGGCGGCTGCTGCGCGCGAGGGACACGTGCCCTTGAGGTGACATCGTGTCTGATAGTGACGGCTGCTGCGGACGCCGGGGGAGGGAGGGAGGGGAGGGGAGGGGAGGAGAGGCGGCGTGCCGGCCTCTCGGTCAGCTGCACAAGGCGTGACCGCCCTCCCCAGCAGCGCGGGGTCATGACCTCAATAGGCCGCCTGATAACGTAATGGCTCCGCCGGTGACATTCTCATTGCTCGCAATGAAGCATGCAGCCACTGGCACTGTATTTGGAGCAGTGCAGAACAAACGGGGGCGCGGGCCTGCGCCATCACAGAGAACTACAGCCCCGGCGTAGTTGTCAGCTGTCTGCAGCGAGCGCCGGCATTCGAACCAGTTCTTGGACGCAACTGGCTTGCGCACAGCCGCGCGGGCACGTAACTTCGGGAACAAGTGCAATCAGGTGCGGCAGCTGACCGGCCCGTTTCCGGTTTCCTCCTTCAGGAACTGAATGAAAGTGCGTTCCGGGCGCGGTCACGACTCACCCAGCCGGGCGCGGCGGCCGGCCGACCCTTGCAGACTCAGCGGGAGTCTGTTTATCGAAGGC